TCCTGATTTATAGAGGAGGCAAGTGACACTCAACAGGATAAATAAGCAGCCCAAGGTCACACAGCTAGCAAGTAACGGAGATATCTGAACCCAAGATTCCAGTGTCCATGGGCTTTTCAACTGTCCACATGGCTACTCATGGACATGAGGTAGTGTTAGTCACTGACCAGCTATTGACACTTTGTGCTGTGTTATTTGTACAAACTGTGTAACTTTATAGGGCCTGTGACACTTTTCTTTCTACAAAAAGTCTCTCTCTAAAAGTTGAAACATACAATAGCCAAGTGAGGAAGTTTACATTTTAATGAATCAATAATGTATTTTTTCTTAAATATCAGAGATAACCAAAATCTTTTTTTCTTTTTTTTTTTTTTTTTTTTTTTTTTGAGACAGGGTTTTGCTGTGTCACCCAGGCAGGAGTGCAGTGGCTCGATCTCGGCTCACTGCAACCTCCACCTCCTGGGCTCAAGCAATCCTGCTTCAACCTCTGCGTAGCTGGGACTACAGGCATGCACTACCAAGCCCAGCTAATTTTGTTTTCGTGTTTTTGGTAGAGACAGGGTTTTGCCATGTTGCCCAAGCTGGTCTTGAACTCCTGGGCTCAAGCAATTTGCCCACCTCAGCAGAAATAACCAAAATCTTAATTTGACTAATGGCTGCTATAGTAAAGTCTCTTTAAAATATACAACTGAAGGGTTTTTTTTTTTTAAGAAAAAAAAAACAGCATAATTTCTTTATGATTTTATAAACATTCTCTAAAGTATCATCTTGACATTTTATAAATAAAAATTTTCCCCAAAAATACTAACTAGCACTCATAATTTAAAATAATCTGTTGGCTGAGCATGATAACTCACACCTGTAATCCCACACGTTAGGAGGTCAAGGCAGGTGGATCACTTGAGGCCAGGAGTTTGAGACCAGCCTGGCCAACATAGCCAAACTCCATCTCTACCAAAAATACAAAAATTAGCTGGGTGTGGTGGTGCACACCTGTAATCCCAGCTACTCAGGAGGCTGAGGCATAAGAATCGCTTGAGCCTGGGAGGCGGAGGTTGCAGTGAGCCAAGTTTGCACCATTGTACTCCAGCCTGGGTGACACAGCAAGACTCTGTGTCAAAAAAATAAAAAAAAATAAAAAAAATAAAGTAAAATAATCTGTCAAGAGTTTTAGAGAGTGTTGTACCTATCAAAAAATTTGCTAATGGCAAATGGCACGTGTGTCTTAACTCCAGGCACGTGTGTCTTTGATAAGCACGATTGCTTCAATGAGCAATGTTATTTTCAAAACACAAAGAATGCTGAAATTAGCATCACTGCATACTGATAAGTACAGTACATGTACCTTTTAGGATTCAGCCACTCAACAACCAAGTGAGCACAAAGAAAAAGCTTGGGTAGACTGACGACGAGAATTCAGTAAACCAGAACAAGCTCCTCAATGGAAGCATCAGGGATATGACACGCGGAGCAGCACATGGTTAAGAGTCCTTTAGGACTGTTTTAAGACCCGTGATAACATCTGTGCTTGCCTCCTCCTCCATCCTTCAGCTATCACTGTTGGTTAATTTGGTTCAAATCAAGTTCGCACCATTCCGGGAACTCCTACTTAATTTTAAATTATGGCCCCTTCATAGCCTCGTCAGGGCTCTCGGCTCCCCCAGTGTGGAGAGCCCCAACTGAGGACGGCTGCAGAAGCATTGCCGACAGTGATGAAAACGAAGGGATGGGGCAGACATGTGAGGCAGGAACAGAAAACAGAAGGCAAAGCCTCTCTTCTCCATCATGTGGGAGTTAGGACAAATCAAAAGACGACTGCTCTGAGTCAGCTCAAGGAGAAACACTGATGTTGCCATAGATCTTTTAATGCTGCCCAAACATGTTAATATGGTTATAGTTTATCACCTGTAAGACAACTTTTGTATATCTGTTACTAAACACTATTGTGTTTTGCTGTGACCTGTTACGTATTGAACCCAGGAAAATATTCCAATTATATATATCATATTTTGTTTCAATACATCCAAAAACAAAATAATAATATATATATATTTTTTCTTTTTTCAAAGCAGTGGATAATAAATTTTATGGTCTTAAACATACTTCCTGCTTCTTCATCTAGAGCCCTTAGAAGTGACATATTTCTCCCAACGAGAGACACTATGCCCATTCTAAGACAACTATTGGGTATAGTCATGACACACGCAGGCATGCTGAGAGCTCAAAAGCTCGGCACTAACTCTTGGAGATACACCTTATTAGCCTTCCCAGGGTGCTAATAAATCTCCACTATGCAGGGTGCTGCCTGGAGAAACCTGCCTCCTTACCTTTGATATGGGGAATGAAGTGGTGTCGGAAAGGGGGGTTGGGGCGGGAGTCGCTGTGGGTGGGGCTGAGGCTGCTGGTGCGCAGGTACGACAACCTCTGCACACCAGGAGACAAAAGCTCTGTGCAGCAAGGAGTCAGGGGCAGGGCACAGTGGAAACAGAAAAGAAGAACAGAAATTAACACAGGAGCAGGGAAAGTGCCATCGTTCCAAGGGAAAACAAAATAAAGAACGTTAATCAGGAGGCTGAAAAGGGAGGAAGGAGAAAGGGTTAAGAATGCACCTGCTAAGGCTGAGGCAAAGTGGGGGAGAGTGCAAAGAGGTTCAGGCGGGTACAGAGTCACTCTCTGAGAATAAATGGCTTTGGTGAGAAGAAATGGTCACCTGGATGGTCTCTGTTCAGCCAGTAGCAGACACATCATTTAGATTCAACAACAGCTGTTTTTAAAAAGCACCTGACAAAACAGAACCCTCTGAAATGCTTATTAAAAAATTGACAATCATTGTATTTATATGTAAGGGTCAGGTTTTTTTTTTTTTTTTTCTTAAGCAAACTTATCCCACTGTAAGTTGAATTTTATTTTGCCTACATAGAAGGAAAACCTGTTTGTGTTCCCTGTGTGGCAAAGAGGTCTATATGATCCCGAGAACTTCAGCAGGAGTACTGGAGGCTGGAAACTCAGTTATCTCAGGAAGAATGGACCATTCAACTTCAACCCAGACTGAGGGGGTTTTAAATCATCATCTGGCATCTAGAACTTGTGGAGTGGACTCTCTGGGGTGTTCTTTATGGATCACAAGTATGCTATCAGAATTCCTCCAGCTTCACTTTAGAAGGGCAGACCTCAAAATAATAACTATAAAGCCTAACGAGTGGCATCAGGCATACATGTAATATATTGTGAAAGGAAAGAAGGAGAAGGAGAAGGTTCTAAAGTCTATTGGCATCAGAACCATGATTGGAACAGATGGAAACTTTCTCAATAAGGACATGAGCTTTTGGGGGAAGAAGTGTTGACTGGCCACTCCCCTCACTATTCAGGGGTCTCTGGAACAATAATGCCCCTATAACCCCACGCCACTCCGATAACTCCATGGCTGGGGTCTCAGTGACCTCAGCACATGTACATGAGCAGGGTGGCAGCATAAAGGATTTTTTTTTTTTTTTTGAGACAGAGTCTTGCTCTATCACCCAGGTTGGGTGCAGTGGCACGACCTCAGCTCACTGCAACCTTCGCCTCCCAGGTTCAAGCAATTCTCCTGTCTCAGTCTCCCAAGTAGCTGGGACTACAGGTGCACGCCACCACACCCGGCTAATTTTTGTATTTTTAGTAGAGACGGGGTTTCACCATATTGGTCAGGCTGGTTCTTGAACTCTTGACATCAGGTGATCCACCTGTCTCAACCTCCTAAAGTGCTGGGATAACAGGCATAAGCCATCATGCCCGGCCCAGCATAAAGGATTTCTTATTACCCAAATAGACAAGGGCTTAAATCAAGACCCATGTCCTGGGCATGAATAAAATGAGTATGGTAGCCCATGAAATAAGGGAAAAAAATTTCCTGAGAACTTTCATTTAATGTAATTCAATAAACAGCATAAATATTTACCAGTGTAGAGAAAATTATACATTATCAAAGGATCAAATAGTTTGAATTATCTGCAAGCATTAAATCTAGGGTCTTAGAGAGAAGATTGCAGCCTTTTATCATTCTGTTAATTCCTTTGGTTTTATTTCTTGTACAATTTATTTAAAAAAAAAGGTAGCATATGGGTTTGTTCTCATCTACCCATCCAGAAGCAAGAAGCTTAACAGGAAGTCTTCACAGATGCACACTATCACCATTAAGTTTTATTAGAGGCCAGAATCTTCCTTGTGAATCTATTTCTCAGGGAATCTTGGATCTTTACTGGGGTCTCCATTCTTCTCCTACTATACACAGGAGACACCCACTAGTAGCCACAGACACTAAATTCTCTGCAGATGAAGGTCCACTAAAATCTGCTACTTTGTGGCATTCTCTACTGTAGTGATGCCTAATAATTTTATGTTTTCCAAGTATGATGGAAAATCTTAGGGTTGGAAATGATTTTATGTTTTCTAAGTCTGATTGAAAATCTTAGGGTTGGAAATGATTTTATATTTTCTAAGTCTGACTGAAAATCTTAGGGTTGGAAAGGATCTTAAAAGTGATCAAAAACAGCCCTGAGTCCTCTTTCTAGAAGGTGCTTAACCAAGCATGCTTACTAACACCATGTGCCTAGATAAGGGAAGCAAAATACATCCGTTAAAAATGGCTAATACTGAATTTTAGATGATGTTGGTATGCCTAGAAAGCACATCAAAATATTTTCTTTGCGAGATCTCCATTTTAAGTCTCAAAGTGAAGATATTTTCATTAATCCTATTTTTTTTTAAAAAAACCCTTGCTTCCAGTAGCTCACTGTCAAAATATAATTAATAAATCAAAATGTACACAGCCATAGGATGACTGATGTTTCAAGAAAAGGTACAGCATAAAATATAGTTGGATACCAGTTTTCATTTTGTTCTGGGAGAGGGATGGAAATGTTTAGTCATCGGTTTTTCAATGTGCTATCAATAGTAGGGGAAAAAAATCACAGAAATACAGTTTGTTATATAGAGTGAATCCCAGGAACAGTCACCCTTACCAGGTCTGTGGAAATGCTGGGGAGAGCGCGACGTGGTTGGAGTGTAGCTGTGGCGGCTGTACACAGGAGAGTTGATGGAGCCCTGGCTCGTGGACCGATGGATCATCCGATCCCGAACATCCTGGTATCCCTGGAAACAAAGTTCAACACATTCAGGCCATCACCATTCCTCAGCAGGAACCACGTTTCACAAACATTGCCAAGGAACCATCATGTCTACTTGTTTATATATATTTGATTAATATATGCACTTATTTTTATGTGCAAAATTTACAGGTATTTTATATGCAAATGAGCATTCTGTGGCTAATACATTGTGCTCAAAATCTGCAGTACTT